CCAGGTCGCAAAAAGAAATAACAAGAAATTAACATATTCAATTCTATTATAACGATATTGTTGTGAATAGTTAACCCCTCTAGCATATTTTTTTCCATTCAACTACGAAAACAATAAGCCAACCTCAAAAATAAATCTACATTTTTAATCCTGTAAAGCCCCATTGTTCGTTTTAAATGTAATAACTTTCCTTTATTTGTAAACTGTCAATTTGCTTGACACGCAAAACATACAATATATGTATATCCGGACACATGGCTTTTAGATTAGATAAATCGCCCCTTAAAGCAAATAGATAAGCCCAGCTGCATTTGCATAAACCATAATCCATAAAAAATAGCTTGTTTAAAAAGGAACCCCTTTTCGGCAACGCCCCTGCCTACGCACCATCATGGTCCATGGACGGTAAAACAGAAGAGAAGTTGAGCTGGAAAAAAAACCGACAGAAAAGTTAGTTTAGTTTTTGTTTTTAATTTGGTAATGCAGCACGGAGCATGGCCTCCAATTGTTAGTCCTGGACAAGGACTTTTTCCTGTTTTCTGACAATTACATTTGATGAAGTTTTACAAATGAGCGGGGCGTGGTCAAGGGCGGGTCCCAGTCATTTAGTTAACTTTTCCACCAAGCTAAAAATTGAAATTGAATTCCAATTGTCAAATGGAATTGTATATGGCCAACACAAAAAGTTTGCAAAAAAGCTAACAAAGGCCAAAGGAAACGGCTGACAATTAAACTGAGTCGAAAAAAACGTGGCTAACTAAAAATTGCATTCATTATTCCCGCCAAGTAGCTGGAGGAATAATGGGTTGTCTCCCAGAGATTAAGGCTGAAATAAGCAGGGAAGGCAAGGAATAATGAATCGCCTTGCTTAATATTTATTATTATATAATTAATGCCCTGCCACCAAATTAATAATCCCCTTCCGAGGACTCTTTTCATTTTGGCATTAAAACCTTTTAAGCAAATGGTTCAGTTAATGTAAGTGTTTTGCAATGATAAACATATAACACGTTATTCAATAACATTATGTATTACTTAATATTCTTAAAGGATTAAAGGCAGTCATTAAACCAGCTGCAGCAGGGATTTTGTTTATGAAAGAAAGAACTTAACTCAGTTGGGTTTAAGCATAATTTATTTAACATTCTGAATTTATTTATTGTATTGCATTAAATTAAAGGTGAACTTAACACTTGTTTTATGTGGAAAACAGATTACAACATTTTTTTATATTGTTCTTACCTTAAAATTCTTGAATAAAAATCTAGCAAATGGTTTACTTAACTTTTTAAGGGTATTTAAAATTTTTTTAACCTAACTAAATATATATTTGATAATAAATCATATTTAGAATCTAAATTATAAATAGAAGGCCTCTGCTTACCTTAATTCAATTTAATTACCTTAATTCTTGAATAAAAATCTAGCAAGTTATTTACTTAGCTATTTAAAAATCTTAAACTTTACTAAACTCTTTCAACACTCACTAAAGTCCCTAAAACTCCCAATATAGTACAATTGCTCATACGCACTGTTGCATCTGCTGGCCCAAATCAATTTGCTGCTAAACTGCCGCTTAGATTATCTAGCTGTTAGCCCCGAAATGAAATTTCATTTACAGGTTAACAATTACCAGTCATTCCGGCCAGATTAGGACGATACAAGATACAAGTCGTTATGCTATAATGTCTGCCAGTGGCAATTCCATTGAATGCCGAATACAAGAAAACTGAGCAATTGAGAAATAGCGAAGTAGAGAAATAGAGAAATGGAGAGGGAGACCCCATATCTTTTTGGGGCATCAGTTAATTGATTTGCTTTACGACTTGCGGCTGCAGTCAGTCAGTCCTTTGGTGCCTTTGCAACATATTCTAGTTCTAGTTATTCTGGCCATAATATTTTTTTAATATTGTTGCGCGCTCTTTGGCCCGGCCTGGTTTTGGCAATTGGCCATCAAATTAGCTTTGCTTTTTTGCTCCACTGTGCCACATTTTTATGAATATCAACGAACCTGTGAGTGCCGATGCGATGCGGTTGCAGCCAAAAGTGCCCCAGCTGAGTGCCTTGCCCTTATCTAGCCACATTTGCCCTCCATGTGCCCCAACAGGGAGAAAAAATAGTCTATCAAATATATAGTAGAGTGTAAAAAATATATAGAAAATTTAAACTATTAAATTAAACACTTTAATCTTTAATTTCTTGACAAATAAAAATATATTTTTTTTTCAGAACTTTTTTTACATATTTTTTCCCCCTGTGTGTGCGCTCATAAAGCAGCAAAAATAAAACTGTTGACGATTGGTAAGGAAAATAGGAAAACTGGGGTGGAAACCGGGCTGTCAGGGGGGGGGGTTGGGAAAAGCGTTTTCAGTCTGAGGCAAAGTCAGCAATTGCAACTGCCAACTGCCGCTGCCGCTGCACTGACACAGGAAATATTATCCGCATTGCCAGCGAGGAGCGATGAGGAGGAATCGAGGCTGCCAAGGCTTTGTGAATCGTCCTTTTTTTGTACGAGGGAGGGGGGGGGCGTGGCTCTGGGTGGGCCACAGGACAAAGCGCAAAAGCGGCCAAGTGAATTCTCAAATACAAATTCAAATGGCAAATTGACAAATGAACCTTTTGAGCTTTTTACGTTTTCATTGTCTGTCTGTATCTCTCTCTATGTGCCGAGAAGGATTGGGAGGAGGTTGGAAACAGGATAGAAGAAGCACTGAAGACTCCAGGAAAGCTCCCGGCAAATGTGGCTCAACTTTCGGGTGAAGATTGTGTGAAATTAGGCATTTGCCATTGAGCTAAATTACTTTTACGCTCGAGCAGAGAGAGCTCTGAGAAGGCTACTTTCTTAAGGCACACAGGTTTTAACTTAAAATCATCTATAAAATGATACGTAATTACTCTTTATTATTTTTCAATAAAAGTCAATTTAAAATGCCAAAATGAGGGAGTTTTCACAATATATTAAAACCATAACAGACTCGTCAGCATACATTTTAAATATTAATATATAAAACAGCATAAAATAGCATATTTAAATAATTAAAAACATATTTTAAAGAAGCCAGAAGGAAAGATTTAAATTGCAAAATACAGAGAGCTATGTGATTTCAAAAATAATTAGGGTAAGGTGGGGTAAAGCCGACAGTGTGGGTAAACCCGACCTCCCTCTGTTTTCGAAAATCGGAAGCACTACGCAAAATAATATTAGTGTTGTCGTGTAGAGCATCGAAAACAATGAAAATGGTGGTATGACACCATTTTATTAGTCAACATTGAGATGGTCAAACGACAACAAGTTTGTTTTCACAATTTTGACTTTCATTTTTGTGCATAATTAACTGCAGGATATTTCTTTTTGTCAAAGTTATCGCATGAAAAGGTAAGTGGATTTAGATTCTTTGAATAAAGTCCTACAAAGTGCATATAAGTTTGGTTCATTTTTTTTCATAATTTCTTTTTTAATTGCGTTTTTATGAAAAATTACGTCGTGGGGCAAATCCGACCTCTAAATAGTGGGGTAAATCCTGCCGCAAAAAAAGCCAAAAAAACAACAATCACACAAAAACCATCAACATCGCAGCCAACCAGACGTTCAACTCGAACCAAAAAACGCCAGCAAGCTATTTGAGCAGCGAATCAGATGATACTGATTAATTATTTTGCTATTTTCAATTTTTTAATTCTATTATCTTTTATTACCATTATATAATATAACATTGATTGATTTATCATTGCAAAACCTATATTTAGGTTATATCTGTACTAAATCAACCAAAAACATAGGCGGTCGGGTTTACCCCATCATTTTTGAACATAGCAAAAATGAACTTTTTCGTAAAACGCTTGTATCTCAAAACTTTTCAAAGGTGTGAATAAAATGCTATGCATAGAAAGTTGCGCAAAGGTCTAACCTTTAATTTGGTATATATAACGACTTGATCCGATGTAAAATAAGCATTTTATAGCCAAAACCATTTACTAGGTCGGCTTTACCCCACCTTACCCTAAGTTCTAACATATTTTATTTAATATTTAGAGGATACTTTAGTATAAACTAAAAAGAACAATGAACTTTTCTTAGCTTAGTATTGATTGCTAGTTGATTTCCCCAAATAACCCCTACTTTATAGTTACAAATCCAGAAACCGGTCTTTAATGTCCTTTAAATTAAACAACCAATTCTCGAACTTGTGCAATAAGGAACATGTAGCTTAACATAACAATACGAGGAATACAAAATTCAATTAGCTTTGAGGTGAAGTCCCCTTGCGTCCTGCAGCCGCTCCTGGACTGGGATTTTTTCCAGTCCAGTCCCGCTGCCCTCCATGTTCATTCAAAGGAAGTACAAACAAAAAAAAAAAAAAAAAAATGAAATGCAGAGGGGCAAAGCACAAAAGTAAAAAGCATTCGACAGGCTATTGATGCTGATTTTGTAAAGATGCCGATGTCGATGCCAATGAAAATGAGAATGGGAACGAGTACGAAGGCTGGGAATTCCCCAAGTTTTGAGCCCTGTACCCCTGCGGGTTTTGGTTGGTGCTTTGTTGTGCCCTCGTCGTCCAGCCAGGACGTCCAGGACGATGTACAACAAATTACAAAATGTTGTTGAAAGGCGATTTTAAAGCCCCCGCCACTTGGCACCAGCCGCCAACCCCAGGCCCCCTTCTTCAACTCTATTCAAAGGCCAAAGCCGAGCTCAGTAAACAGAGATTACAAATGGGCCAAGTGTGGGAAAGATGGTGCACTGGGAGGAAAAGAGAGTAAGCTTGATAAAAGGTCAATTGGGAAAAAATTTTATTAGGCACACAAAAGGTCCTTTGGTTGGATTTGAAAAAAAGCTGAGACTCATCCTGGAAAATTTACAAAAAATCGAATCCATAAAATAAGAATTTGCTAACAATTTCAATTATTTTTCCCAGTGTATAACAACTAGAACTACCCAACTACAATGGGCATTGTTAAACTGCTCACGCTAATACCGGATTCTCTTTTACATTTTGCAGATTTAAGAATCTTGAAAAGAAGGATACCAGCAGCATCAGCAACAGCAGCAGCAACGACCAACTTTCCACTCGAAGCAAATTAAAAGAAAGGAAAAGAAAAGAAAGGACTCCGTGTCGAACTTGCAGGACGACTGGGCGACAGGACGAGGGCAAAATCAATACTGGCAAAGTGTGGCCAAAGTGCTGAGTAATGTGGAGTAATGGAGACCTTTTTGCTGGCGGCGGCAACATGATGTGAAACATGGCAATCGAATCAACCGAAGCCATTTAGGGTCATCAATTTCCAGGGTCGTGGAAATCGAAGGAACGAAGCCATATGCACCGCAACATGGAGCGTAGGAGGAGCCCAGGGAGCCCAAGGAGCAGGAGCAGGACACCGATGGCTCTGCCAGGTGAGTTGTCATTGCCAATCCCGAGCACCTGGGAGCGAACTAAATATAAATCGAGGGTCAAGCTGCTCTCGTATTTCAATCGAAGCACTTTGCTGGAGACGATATAGATTTCTGTTTTGTACGCGTAAACGTTGCTTTATATATTTATAATTTTTTATAGGGTTATGGCACTAGGGATAAATATTTATATATTTTTTACTATTAAAATTATCATTGATTAGCAATTTTATGACACTACAATGATGCTCTCTACATTTTCTTTGATATTATAATATGACCTACTGAACCTTCAATGAAAGACAACACCACAATGTAGTGTCATAACACCATAAAAAATACCATTTTATTTTAAAACTAGAACATTTTATAAAAAATAAATTCATAATGCCATAAAAAGGAAATTTAACTTATTTTTAAAATTAAAAAATATGAAATACTATCAAAAAACTCCTCCAAAAAATCTTTGTTATAAAACCCCAATCATTAATAATCCTTTTATCCTTCCAGTCTGCTGGCTACTCCTCTGCCTGGTGGCCTGGACCTGGGCGGACGACTGGTCGCTGAGCTGCGCCTCAAACTGCACCTGCAAGTGGACCAATGGCAAGAAGTCGGCCATCTGCAGCTCCCTGCAGCTGACCACCATTCCGAACACGCTGAGCACCGAGCTCCAGGTGCTGGTGCTGAATGACAACCACATACCGTACCTCAACCGTGAGGAGTTCTCCGCGCTGGGCTTGCTGAACCTGCAGAGGATCTACCTCAAGAAGTCGGAGGTTGCGTACATACACAAGGAGTCCTTTCGCAATCTGAAGATCCTGGTGGAGATCGATTTGTCGGACAACAAGCTGGAAATGCTCGACAAGGACACATTCATGGGAAATGACAGGCTGAGGATCCTGTATCTGAATGGGAATCCCCTGAAGCGCTTGGCCGCCTACCAATTTCCCATTCTGCCCCACCTGCGGACCCTGGACATGCACGACTGCCTGATATCCTATATAGACCCCATGTCGCTGGCCAACCTCAACCTGCTGGAGTTCCTTAACCTGAAGAACAACCTGCTGGAGAGCCTCAGCGAATACGTGTTCCAGCACATGGCCAACCTGAAGACCCTGTCGCTGGAGGAGAATCCCTGGCAGTGCAACTGCAAGCTGCGCAAGTTCCGGGGCTGGTACGTCAACAGCCGCCTAAGCTCGGTGAGTCTGGTGTGCAAGGGTCCACCGGCGCAGAAGGATCGCACCTGGGACAGTGTCGACGACGAGCTGTTCGGCTGTCCTCCGCGCGTGGAGATCTTCAACAATGAGGAGGTACAGAATATAGACATTGGGAGCAACACCACTTTTAGCTGCCTGGTTTACGGGGATCCGCTGCCCGAAGTGGCCTGGGAGCTGAATGGCAAGATCCTGGACAACGACAATGTGCTCTTCGACACGGAGAGCATCGCCTCGGACAAACTGTGGAGCAACCTCACCGTGTTCAATGTGACCAGCCTGGACGCGGGCACCTACGCCTGCACGGGGTCTAATAGCATCGGGAGCATGACCCAGAACATCAGCATCTATCTCAGCGAGATAGTGCAGCATGTGCTGGAGAAGACGCCGGAGACATTCTGGTACTTTGGCCTTATTATGGGCATCTTTGGCACCGTCTTCCTCCTCATATCTATATCCTTTGTGGTCTGCCTGTGCAAGAGGACCACCCGGCAGCATCGGCATGCCAACAAGGCGGGAGTCAAGTCCAGCGTGAGCTTCAACGATCAGGAGAAGAAGCTCCTGGACTCGAGTGTCACGACCACTACGAACGATCGCGGCGACAGCTATGGCATCGACAACCAACCCACGTCCATGGGCATGAACAAGGCGGAATCGGCTGGGATGGGCTTCAACCAGATCGAGATCCATGCGGTGGAAAGCCATCGTCATGGCAGCATGTTGGTGCAGCAACAGCAACAGCATCCCCAGTCGCAGCAACAACACCAGCTCCAGCAGCAGCACCAACAGCAGCAGCAACAGCAGCAGCAGCAGGTGTCGCGCCAGCAGCTAATGGCCACGGTGAAGGATCCCACCTGCGGCGGCATGATAAGCGTGCCCACCTCAATGGCCGGCCATGCCCACACGCATCCCGCTCAGATCTCCGAGGAGTTTCCACTGAACGTGGGCGTCTTTCCGCCGCCGCCCGAGTTCTGCTCGAACATTGTACCGAATCCCGCCTTTGGCGGCAACATCTTCATCCGTGTCTCGGTAACCCAGGACATGCTGGATGGCGCCGATCTCAACATGTATCCGGATTTGCTGAACATACCCAAGAGGCTGCAGGATGTGCAGGAGACGGGAGCGGGTACCATGGCCGTGCCGGAGGGTCAATTTGCCACGCTGCCCAGGCATGCGGCCAGGCGGGGAATCCTGAAAAAAGACTCTTCTCTGCAGCAGCAGATGCAGATGCAACAACAGCAGCATCAACAGCAACAGCAGTTGCAGCAGCAACTCCAGCAGCAACTCCAGCAGCAGCAGCAACAACACCAACTCTATCCCCATGACGAGATCGTGACCTACAACCTGGAGGCCAGCGGCTACGAGCCCCACCAGTCGGCGGTGTACCACGGCAATGCCATGGAGCTGCCACCGCCACCGCCGCCGCCCTCGGTCACAGCGGTGGTGCAGTGCCATCATCCGAATCCCAGCCAGAATACCGCTCTCTCGGCGGCCAGTTGTGCCAGCTGCATCAACAATGCCGGCGGTCCGCCGTTGCAGCAGCCGACGAACTCTTCTGGTGCCTGCCAGACGCCGCCCATTGGTGAGGTGACGCCGCTGAGGCCACTGGACAGCTCCGCTTATCCCAAGTACGACAACATGGGTCGCCGGATTACAGCCAGCGGAGGACTGGGCGGCTCCACGCTCTCCCTGCACGACGAGGAGCGGTACGAGAGCGAAACTCTGTTCAATGAGGCGGAGAAGCAGCCCAGTGGCATGCCAGAGCAGATGCAGGAGCAGCAGGAGTCTTCCCAGAGCCAGGATAAAGGCGGCGGTCCTGGCGAGTTTGTGTCGCTTTAGTATTACGGAACCCAGGTGTAAATAGGTCAATAGATTCGTGAACAGTCCCCCCAAACCTAACTCACAAGAAAGATCCCTCGAAATCCTAGGCAATCGTTTTGTTCATATCAGTTTGAGAAGCGAGTGCTATGAATGCTCTAAGTAATACATAAATAATTACTTAAATAATTAAATCAATAATTAAATAGTGAAGCCAAACAAGACACATTCTATTAACTGCCACAGGACCCTGAAAAAAACTCAAGAACTAAAGAGCAATTAAAGCAGAATCAAAAGAAATTAGGGGAGGACTCTTTGGGGTTTTCATTTTCATAGATTTTCAGTATTCTTAAATGGAAAATTATTTAAAATGGGTATTAAATGTTTACCTTTATAAAAGTATTTTCTTGTGTTTTATAAATGTAAACGAAGCTCATATATTTGGTTCCAGTAAAAGTAATTTATTTTGTTTTTGTTTTCCAAAAGAATAAAGTATAATTTTTTCCATATATAAAATTATAAAATAAATATTATTTTATATTAATTCCCACAACAAAATCTATAAAAATGAAAATCTAAAAAGTTCCACCATGAAAATACAAATCAATGCGTAAACTTTCTCTCATATTTGAGTATCTTAAGTTGACAGCAAAAATAATACCTATTTTCCATTCGGATCGCACTCTCAGACTAGATCTCCTCAGCGCATATACTTCTTAAAATATATACATTTATATACATATGTATTTATCCGCATGAATGTGTACTCCATTAGAGACCGACCTCCGTACTGTCCCCGAACCCCAAGTAGCTAGCATTCGATAGTTGTCCAACTTGAAGTCTGTAAATTTAACCGAGACGTGCGAGTATTCTAGAAGTATATAGCGACCAAAACTGATCTTCATAAGGTGTATAGTTTGAGTATAAATATGCATATTTATAGGGTCTCAGATGAGAAGATCAATTTCGGGGTGCTAGACTTGGTTGAGGAGCGTTTTAGAGATCAGACACTGAGTAGGATTAAAATCGGCTTAGGAAGGTTAGCCAGATCTATTATGCCACTACGATATATAATATAACATATAGCCATCATCGATGTGTAAGGGATATACATTAGCTAGTTTTTAGACATTCCACAACATCCCTAACATAGTTCCTTTTCTCTGTACATATGTAAATGTATTCCTAATCGCTTAAGGACTTTTAAATCAAAATAATTTTACACTCACTACCCGAAAGAGATCGTATATATATATCATAGATCCGAAAAGTCGTGCCAAATGTTTTTAAAATCAGTTTTTAGCCTGTTAACCTATGTATGTATCTTGTCATCAAGCGATTGTTTAGACCTGTTAGATTAGGATTACACCAAAGACACTATAAGGAATAATATGCATAATATGCATATGCATTATGCACCTTATTCCTTATTTAGTCTCCATACTTAGTACCTATTTGATTTGGCTAGTAAATCTCTCTAAATATATAGACCCGTTCCTATCCTAGAAAAACCGAATATAGAACACACTTTGGTTACAGTCACTCTCTCTCCATGAAAATCCTGCAAGTAGACCAAAGCTAAAATCTAAATAAAATAAAGACATTAACATTTACGTAATATATATCTAAAACATATATATATATATAGTACTTGTACTTGTGTGTAATCTAATTGAATGTAGAAGGAAAATACCAGAGATATCGAGGCTATATATACTACTATATCGAGAATTGGGAGAGGCCGCATTAAATGAATTTTTGTGTCTGTAGAAAGTTTCAAATTCGAGCTTGGTAAATGTAAATGTAAGCTATAGAAGTCAATATGATAAGTACACGTGAATTCCACTTACACGACCAGGCCCACAGAGCAAGCCATACCTCCCAATGCCCCCATCCTTACACCCATAATCTCTTGTGTGTGTGGAATAATAAAACACATGATGCAATGAATTACTATAATAATTATGGGAAAGCATGCAAGCAAATATTTGCACAACTTCACATGAGATTTTTAACCCTACTCCGCCCCCTTAACCCGTAGCATGCCATACCCTTTTTATTTGTTGTTGTGTTTAATGTGTGTCGAGTGTCGAGCGAAGGGATTTTTGTATTTTGGCATTATGAACTGAACCAGAGAGCAAATTTGCACACGGCCCACACACAAAACACAGCAAATACGCCGAGCAGAAACTATTCTAGTTGAACCCTGCATTTTCCTCTTGATTTTACCCCCGCGTACCTCATTTTTGACAGCGCAAATTGAAATGATTCAATCAAAAGCATATATGTATATAGTACATAGTATTATTTGTCCGCTCTAATAGATGGCGGCATTCAGACCTTCAATGGGTAGATTACACATGTACATAGGCCATTTTAATTACATCAAACTACTCACGATATCGCGATCTATATATTTTATTCATTTTAAATCGTTTTAACTAATTAAAAAACCGAGGGGAAACCGCCAAACAGCGCCAAAGCAAAGGACAAGTGTAAACACACGCAGATATATAGAGAGAGAAAGCCCGACTAGAGGAAATTTAAACTATGCTTTTAACTACATTTTCCATTTACCATTTTCCACTTACACCCCACCCCCTCGCTGTCGCTCGTTTTCCACGCAGCTGATGGAAATGTAACTATAATTTTAATTACTCTGCTTGAATGCAAATGGAAAGCACACACAGGATTCAGGGATATGGGATACGCGGCTGCAGATACGGATACTGGCGAAATGTATCTGACGTGGAATGTATCTGGATTGGTGCACTGGGAGGAAAAATAGATTTTTGAAACGGAGAAACTTGGAATTAAATTAACAGAAAAATAGCTTAAATGTGGTAGATTTATTGAACTTAAATAGTTTATTTTTTATAACTTTTAAAGCTTTCAAAGCAAATTTTATTGAGTGTTAAAAAAATATATTGTTAATAATTGGGATATAACCAAAATTTCGAATAATTTATTTCTTTGTCGAACATTTTCTTTAGCCTCTAAACATACATTTTTAGCAAACTAAACAATCGAAAAAAAGGGTAAACTGTTTTATTTTTCCATTAAAGTTTTCTTTGTAATAATTTTGTATTTATATAAAGTTTAAAGCTTTTAATACCTAGAAATAAATGTCTAAAATATATTATTTGTATGCTAAAAATATTTAAAAAAATTAAGTTCATGATTTTTTTTATAAAACACTTGAGTTACATCCTAAATAAATAATTTTAATGATTAAAAATATAAATTAATATACCTAATAGAAATTATTTACATTTTATTCTTCACTGTAAAATATTTATAATTTTCTATACTTTAAAGCTCATATTTTCCTCCCAGTGTACCTGCGTATATGAATCTATTACTGTGTGTGGCATTCATAGAAAGGCCGACCGAAAAAAGGGAAGTCCCGAACCCGAGTAAAATTAACTTTTTATGAACGTGGAGCGAGCAGCGAAAATAAATTAAATACGAATGATGAATAGTAGCAGCAAATTTTGTACCATACCCCATTAAAAAAATAACAAGAAAAAACAGACAAGCATATTGCATTTTAACTTGAATTCCATTGAATGCTGGAATTAGCCAAATTTCTAGGAGCAATCAGACACACACACACCGAGAGAGATCCATCACTGCACACACTCACACATGTATGCCCGTGTATACGCATTTATAAATACAAAACATCCTGACAGGGACGCCGGACGGAAAGGCAAACATGACAGAGCGGAAAATCGAAGGACAGGACGGGACAGGACAAACAAGCGAACATTTAACGAACAATATAACCGAGAATACATTGTAATAGCATTAATAGATTGTCAAGCTTTATTACACACTATATTAACATAGATGGAATAATAATAATGATTATTATTGCAATAATAATACGAGTAACAGACCGAACGAACACACACAAAGAGAAATATGAATAAATTTAATAAAACCAATAAAATACAAAAAAAAAAAAAAAAACAGAACTCATTTCGCCTTTCAATGCGGACTGCGTATGTGGAATATCATCATTATATATCCACATTTGCCGTCATTATGGGGGAGAACAAAAAACAGGGCCAAGCCCAGGACAGACCGGAAAAAAAGGAAAATCGATTTGATGACACTTCCATAATGGAAAACTTTGCTGCAGTCAAATCAATGTCTCTTCCTGCACACTTGATGGAAAGTTCTCGCCAAACATTGCAGCCAACTTCCTCAATATCCTCAGTGCCTCTTTGCCACTCACATTTCCCGTCGACCCCCGTTTCCCCCGCTTTTCCCTATTTCAGGCAATCTGCATAATTTGTCAGAGTCTCCTCCCCCCTCTCACTTGTTGATCGCCAAAACGCTTTTTGGCATATCAAATTTCCGACTTTTTGCCAGTGCCATTTTGAAATGTTTGCTGGCGATAACCGAACGAACATTCCGAGCATTTCCGCGCCTAATCTCCGCTTCCCAGTTGCCACCTTACACAAATGCTTCAATAATGACGGAGCAGGAAGTGCACTGAGCGAAAAGTATGACTTCAGATCATGGTTGTGTAGGATTCCCAGTAAATTAAATGAAAGTGAAAAGGATTTACCAACGAAATTGTATTTTTTAATATAAATTTAATCAGCAAAGAGAAGGATATGGTTTTTCCTTACTAACAAAAGCCCATTAATTAATTTTTCTCACAGTGCCAAGAAGCTGCTTCCCTGGCGGTAATACCATTCTCATCTTAATGCACTCAGAGAGTCCATTTAGTGAAAAGTCGCCCCTGCAACTGCGTCAGCACCAGCTACGTCAGCCCACGGCATCGCCTTCGCCTTCAGAATCTGAACCAGCTGAAGAGCGCCAGCGATGGCGGCCACATCCGTTTGGCGGGCTGGCCAAAAACCACCAAAGACCCAGAGAATCAGAATCAGAATGAGAATCAGACCGAGACCAAGGAGCAGCGCAGGCCTGGCTTCGAGCCCGTGGCAACGACTTCGGCCATAGCCATGGCCGCCGTTCGAGAATATTACGTATACGTATAGGAGAGCACGGATACGTGGGCCATGTGCGGACCTCCAGGGATTCCGATTGCCACGCATCGAGCACGTACGGCGACGACGACAACCGCAAACTGCTGCGATTTTCTAGCAGCGACCTCGCTTTCGCCCCCAGCGCTCCCCAATGCCGCCCCCTCTCCGTCGCTCACACTTTGTGGCTTTAGATGGCCCGGGCGCACGCCCACTCGTTTTATGCACTGTGGAAAAATATTTCTTAATATATTTGGTCAATTTTTGAGAAATTTAATATAAGTTCACACCAGGGTGCTCAGGAAGACTCCAGGGATTCTTGCACACCATTCTTGTAACCTTGAATCGATGTTAATAGATATAATTTTTGGGATAAAATAAGCTAATTAAAAAATTCCATTAATAAGCCTAAAAAGCAGTTCGGAAAACTGGAGTTAGTTCATGAAAATGTTAATAAATCTGCATACCATGACAGTTTTAACGTTGTAACCCATTATATAACTTAAAAAAATCCGTTCAAATTTATAATCCATTTTTTTTTAATACTTTACAATTCTTAAAACAGATTTTAATGACGATTCTGAATATATAATCCTTTTGGCAATCGTCCTCAATCAATCAATCTTCAATTCTTAAACATATTAGGCACGAATGGCTTAGGAAATCCTTATGGGATTTTCGTAACACCCACAAGTATTACCTTTTTCTTACCGTGCACGTCGCCTTGCCTTGCCTTGCGTTACGTTACGTATGCAACATTCATTTTTGACAAGCATAATTTGCGGCTGGCCCAGCAGCGCTGCTGCCATTGGGACTTTGGCCCGGCTCTTAGTCTTGTGTGTTCCAGGTTATTTACAGTTTTCATGGCCCTGCACTTTTCTAATGCAAAAATGATGCACTGCACCCACGCGGCCTTTCCACCCCTTTCCCCAGCACCATTATCCACGTGCAACACGCGGTGGTGCGGTGTGACGTGTGTGGGCCAGGCTGTCTATGGTCAGAATCGAGTCGAGGAGATCTTTCCTGGCAGCAAGGATGCGGCGCAGTCAAAACATGCACTTAATGTAGCATCAGCAGGAGCCAGGAGCATCAGCCAGGGGCCAGGAGGAGCAAGGAGAGAAACCTTTTCTGCTTTTGACCCCGTCTCCGCAGACGCCGCCACCGCCGCACCGCAGTGGCAATGAAAGTTGGAAACCAATATTTGTGCGGGCCGTGGGCGAGGCCCAAAGGAGCTTGGCCAGGAGCGGCCTGGGTTTTTGCCTCTAAATGGATAATTGCATTTGGCTAGCCTGAATTCAAAGGAAATCTCAGGAAATCTGTGGCTTGGATAGCTCTAGGTAAACGATGGGTAAATGAAAGCTAGAGGGATAATCATTGGAACTGGGAAAAGTTTTGGCATTTCAGGGAGATTTCAATAATATAAATAATGGCAGTAATAAATTATTACTAATACTTTAAATTATAAATATAATTATTACAGTATATGTTTAGGTTTCCTTCTTTATTTTACTTCCAGAATTTAACACTTTTACGATTTTATTTTGCCATAAACAAAATTTGTACTTCTCAAAGTTTTATAAACAATTCAAAAATATTATTTAATAATTCGATTAACATCAGGTTACCATTTTAAAAGCCAAAACTCCGCTCCTGTGGGCTTGGGCACAAAAATAAATCTGTTTGCCAAACAGTTATTGCTCTTGTTTCTGCGCCGCTTCCACAAACAGCTCCTTCTAATGCTTCTGCTTGTCCTCCTCCTCCGTCTACTCCTTCCCTCAACCAAAATCCCCTCCAAAACTAATGCCAACTCTGGCTCTGTTCCTGCTCCCTGCTCCTTTTGCAATCCGATTCCCCACGCAGCTCGTCCCGGCAATATGTGCGCTCATTTTATGCCCTTGCATTTGGCAACGGCTCAATAATTGGTCAGTAGATTGGGAGTGGGTTTTCGGGCCACCAAGGAGAAGGAGGAATAAAAGGAATACGAGAACAGGAGGAGGCAGAAGCTGGGGGCCCTGGGCTAGTGACTCAGGTGCCCACAAAAGCTTTCTATAAATTCAAAGTCCAGGGCAGTGATTATGCAAGTCTGCTAAGCCAACGGCGGCCATGAGGATGCGATGCCCTGATGCCACTTGGTACTTGGAGCTGGGTAACTGCCGCCTGCGGCGCGAGATCTGCAGAAATGAAATTGAATATGGGTTATGAATGGAGACGCATCGCCAGTTTCCCGGCCCCGTTTCTATTTTCATCTTCCGTTCCGTTCCAGCAAAACAAACAATGTTCGGAGTGGAGCTCGGAATCAGATTCATGGCCAGCCATGGAGAGCTCGGCAATTTATGCCTGCCGCCGGTGATGGGCAAACTATGGTTTTATTTTTTCAAAACAAATAGAATAGAATGGAGTACAAGAGGTTCCTTACAAAAGTGTATAGATAGTTCAGGTGAAAAGAACAACCGTTTTTAAATAATTAAAGGCAGTATAAGAGAAAGGGTTTCCTTTTTAAATTATGTACCTAATAATAATAATATATTTTAGCTTTAGTTTTAAGTTATAGCCACATAATACAATTTTTTAAATTATTATAAAAATTAGTTGGTTAGAACTTAAACCTTAAAAGCAACAAAAATAATTACTAAGTTTTAAGTTTGCTTATATTCAACTAAAGCTTTAGTAATTTTTATGGTAATGCATTGAAATAATCATTTCCGACCCCATAAATCATATATATAATTACTCAGCATCAACAGGAAAGTCTTTCTAGCCATGTCGGGAAGAAAATTAAATTTCACGTATATAGTATTTAACTTGTCCAGCCTCCTTCCAAAAAATCCCGATGAGCCTTTTGGAATCCACTCTCATTGTTCGACGGAGGCATATCAATACCGCCGCTTAATGGTGCATTGCACCTTCGATGTCTGAACCAGGAGCAGGACCTTTTGATCCCATTGCCCTGTCCGTATCCTGTTGCCCGTCCCCTAGTTGGCCCTACCTGGCCATTGATTAAAGTGGTTCCTTTGCAAATTTATGTTCGGAATATTAACCGAATTGCTCCCCGAGGAAAACTCCCCAACAACCATAGCCACTCTCACTCGAAAAAAGGAAAACTTTTTCCACAATGTACTTGTGTACTGCACACACACACACATCGCACACAGCCCCGGCACACAGAATCGTATGAAAAAGGGGCCAAGGCAACTTTTTTAACAGTTTTTTGGATTTTGGAATACAAATTATGTAAGTAATCTCAATTTATTGATATATGGAGATGCATGTTTACACGTGGCCAGCAGCGGGCCAACATTGTCGCTATTTTGGATCCACCAAGGGAGAGGACATGTTATGTTGGGTGGGGTTAAGTGGGGTTCCGGGGCGAATCAGTAACCGCCCGAGTGTGACCCTTATGAATGGGCCAACTTTTGTCTTTCTTCGTCGCATTTTATACCCTCGCAGCATTATAATTTGCCATGAATATATGAAAACCGTTTGTAGAAGTTCAGCCATCGTCCTAGGAGTCCTTGGGTTCCTGCCCACCCACTTTGGGTTCCCTGCCGGTTGGTGGGATTGTCAGCCGGGGAAATGGTTTATGTAATGGGATTCATAACTTGTTTACCTGCCAGCCAGCCAGCCAGCCAGCCAGCCAGCCAGCCGGGTTATATCTAGTCGGGACTCGTTGGCGGAGCCTTTTAATTTTAATTAAACTCTCGAATCGCCATAAAAGAAGAGTCTTCCTGAAACGGCTGCTACTGCCCAATGATTTATGGTAGTTTCAAGGTTATTTGCACCATTATAAATTCATGGAAATGGTCCTGCATTTCGGGGTCATTATTTAGCTTATTATTATTATGTTCAGAAGGACCAAATTAGGCGAGATCATCGCACAAAACCGAACTTAATTACCTCAAATTATGATGCATGCCCTTTCTGCCCCACTATAAACATATCTATGCATTATTTGCCCTGATTTATTTTAATGGCCTCCAGTGTTTTCCAATCTAATCCCAGACTTGTTGTAAATTTTTAGAGCTCTCTTCGTAGGCGCATTAAAAATGTAAATGCATCAATTATTGAGGCCTTGTCGATGCACCTGCAAGGCGTTTCTCCTCTTTTTTTTTAAACTTGATTTATTCTCTGAGTATTAATGAATGATTAATGCTGCATATTTATTTATATGCCTATTTTGCACTAAGCTCACTTTTTATGGTTGGGGATTTTGAAGTGGAACGTTGTTTTATTATTAAGCAGGGAATAAAATTAACAAAACTAGAGTAAACAAAAAAAGGAAAGGTTCTGTGTATTTGAGATCCCCAGCACTAACTAAGGGTTTATAGTATTTTTAAATCTAATTAAAATCCGACTACTATTTTAAAATATTATAAGTATACTTATTGGGAAAATATTTCAATCTGGGTTTTATTATGTTACTCAATGTGCAAGGATGTTTATTCATATTTTATATGATACATTTTTTGGACAAATCAAAGTTTATAAATTTCATAACTTGGCCAAAAATGCATAAAATTCAATTCGGGAAACAGTTCTATGCTAGTTTTTCCTAGGCTAAAAAATCTGCTTACTAAGTTTTTAATTTTGAGATATCCAATTTTTTAGCCATTTTTGAACATTTTAATGATGTAACCCCTTATCAAATTTCGCAAAAATTACCAAAAAATAATTTTCTCTCCAAAATGGCTAGAAAGACTCGCCTGTTGATGCTGATCAAGAATATATATGATTTATAGGGTCGGAAATGATTCCTTCATTGCCTTTTAAGCTTTTGACTAAAATTATAATAGCCTGCAAGGGTAAAGTTTAAAATTATTAAAACAAGCCCCAAATAGCACTAATTTTAATTAGTTATTAATTATTAATTATTAGTTGAGTAAAATCATATTTATATATCCCCTAAATATATAATAAGTCATGCCTTTGCTGCGACTGGCATAATACCAAACCAATTCATCTGTTTAATAATGCCCAAACCTGCAAGATGCTGCACTGATTAAATATTAAAACACAATTGCAGTTAATTAATTAATTAAAGTTTAAAACATTCATTTGAAACAAGTCGAGAGGGAGAGAGCGCGAGAGCAAACGGGACAAAACAAGAGGAAGAGAGGCGGCGGCGAATTAGCTGCAAAGAGCGCACACAAACGGCGAATTCGGGTCTTGGTATTTTCCGCCAGCCGGACTTGCGGTCACACTAGGATGTTTCTTGCCAAGCAGCTGCGCCAATTTTCCGAAAGAACCAACAATTAAACCAGGAGAGCATCTAAAATCGGGGTTATCATCGCCACCGGAAGCCCCTCGATCCGGTGCCCTGCAGGTGGCCACAAACTGCGACGCCTGAAAGCGGAGAATTCTTGTAGAGAAATCGGTAAGCCAAAGAGATTCCGCTGCGCTCCGCTAACCGCCTTCCCCCGCCCATCCTTCCCGCAGAAAACAAACTGAATTTCTCTTTGCCCCTCTTCGCCAGACGGCAATCTTCTCCTGGGAAAAGCGATGTCCAGTTGGTTCTAGTGGTGTCTCCGAATTCGTTACCAAACCCGTTCCGGTTCGCCGCAATGCACGAGCTACAGTGAGGCCTCCTCGAGCGACGCCCGGAGCAAGGTGAGAGAGAGAAATATCTGCAAAACCATTGAATCCAGAACCAACGAATGCCACTCGCTGAAGTTGCGCAGGTGACGCAAAAAAAAAAAAACCAAAAGACTAAAAGAAAAACAAAGTAAAGAAGAGCAAAAAGCACTTTGCATTTATACATAGAATTGCCATTTAGCGAATTCGTCACATTGCTTGTGAGCACATCCGCGATTCTAGCTGTGTTTTAGTTTTTATTAATGTCCGCCAAATCAATTCGGTGATAAGTGTAACTTGGGTATCAGATCTTATAGTGCATGTCCGTCTGCTTGTTTTATGCTTGGATAGGATAAAGGTTTAGTCAAGGAAGGAAAGTAAGAAACTGCGGAAACCACTTGGGAATAGAAAGCTCTCATCATTAAATAAATTAATAAATAAAATGAATATACCCTTTCTAGCTTAACTGGAGCATGGAAACGGATAGCAGTGACAGCAGTGGGGACAGCGTTAAATCCATTCCCCGTCCAGACTTTGAAGCCCTATCCGCCATCGATAGCCCCCAGCCGCAGCTGCAGGAATCTCTGCTGGATGGCCACAACGACATGGAGACGGGAGTCAGCAGCAGCAGCAGCATGCCCAGCAAGCGACAAAAGTATGTGGTCAGTGCACCGCCAGGATCCGCCAACGGTAGTAGTAACTCCTCCAACTCAAGTCCCTCGAATGCCAATGTCGGCTCTTCCCTAACCATGAAGCTAACCAAGGTGCAGCCCCAGTTGCAGCAGGCCCAGCGCACCTCAACGCCCAATAGCAAGTCGAACAAAGTGCCCAAGGAGATGCTTGCCTTGCAGCGTTCGCATATCGAATCCGAGATGCTGACTAACTTTGTGGCCGAGGTCTCCAAATTGAAGCGCCGCAAGTCTCGATATGTTCCCGAGCCCCTTGATACTCCCACACCTAGGGTAGAGCTCTCCCGCAGCTTAAACACGGAAGCCAAGAGAGAGAAAAAGTTACACAAGGCTACCCTCAAAAGGAGCAAGAGCATACCCGCTCCCAATTGGGACTCGGATGATGATTGGCAGGATGATCCGGACAAATCCCGCAGAGTACGAGGCCGATCGATGGCCTGCGATGATCTGCTTGTGGGGGAAACGAACAGCAACCCGCCACCAATGAGCAAAGTGTCCGCCCGCACCCGATCCCGCAGTAAAACCCTGTCCCTGAGCAACGAGGATCGACTGCCCAGAAGAAGCAATCTGCGTAGCGAAAACGAGGAGTTTGCCAAGAAGCACAGTGCCTTCCTGGACAGCGTCATGAACGATGACCCGGAGTCAGTGAATGCTTCGATGAATACCACGATGAACGAAGTGGATGTGGAAGCCGATTGGTCCTCCTTCTCGGAAAACCCTACGGACACGACAGAAAACCAGGAAGAGGAGCAGGTGGCCGATCGATTGCGACTCATTTGGCAAGCCCCGCCCATGGTGAGCTGGTATTTTACCGTAATTCCTATAGTTTTTAACTCTTTTACTATTCTAGGAAGGCTGGGATCCCTTCTGCTGGAAGTGCCGCGAGTGCGGCCAGCTGATGCCCTGCTCCAAGTGTCTGCGCTCCTTCCACACCTACTGCGTGCGACCAGCCACCACCAAGTTCGACTCATCCTGGAAGTGTCCTGAATGCCAATCGATCGAGGCAGCACCCAAGAGGTAACTACTGTCCCTGGATTTGTAGACTCTCATACCTATATGTTTACTTGACAGGCTGCGTCGCAACGATGTCTCCGTGGATCTCCTAAGCCAACTGCTCTTCTATGCTTTGGAGCGCATGAAGCATGTGCGCGGGGTGAGTAGCATGCCATCGGGGCTATGTGTAGTGTATCTTTAATTATCTTTAGCAGGGTTTTTTAGCAGAAAACAAGTGAAATTATTTTGCAGGCGCCTGTTCTTTGTGTTTTTATACTTGCGGGTAGATAAATAGCATTAATATCGGAACAAAAAGCTTTGGTTTATCAAATTTTTAGATATACAAAAATGTCGATTATTGTGATTTCTTAATTTGTATTACTAATAATTATCATTTATTATAAAAATAACTTCTTTATGTTTTTATTTTCTATGTTGTTGCATAAAATCAATAATCGAACTTTAAGCATTTTCCTTATTTTCCATTCTAAGGGTGGCATTTACATTTTCTGCATGGCATTATTCCGACCGCAGCTGTACCTAGATATGGGTCTTTGTTTTTGCGCTCTCTGTGCCTATACGAGGTCTCTTTCCTATAGATAGACACCTGAAATGTCTCGCTGCTTCGCCGCCCGGCTATTGGGTTTCGTGTTTCCCTTGACCCTTTTGGGTATCTACAGCCACAAGCACAGCTCCATATTCAGCTTTAGCATCGGTGCAGTAATCTATTGTTGCGACCTGTGTTAAGCGTTAGTTGGAGCTATTCCACGGCTCACGTGGTTTTACTGCTCTCCATTCACTTATCTGCCAGTTGCCAAAGGCATGTTCGCGTGGCTAATGAATGCCTGTGTGGGTATTGGTACTCGCGAGGGTCTCGTATATATATGATAATGAGGTTTAATGTCTCTGAGCTACATATGTATACGCAAATACAGTCAGATCAATACAAACCTCTGTTCCCTAGAATCGGACTTTATTTATTATTATTTTACATTTCAATGAGTTTATAAAATTTATAATTTAAACTATTTATTGGTCAAGAAGCCATATTTTTTGTATTAATTTATAAGGATTTACAATACATATAATTTTATGAATTTTGTTCTATGTATTATAACATCCTATTTGTGATATATGTATAGTTTTAGAACTAAACAGACTCATATATACATATATATAGTTGCTTGTTTGTACATACTCGTCGTTTATTATTATTTTTTTTTCCACTATTTGAAATGTTTACTCATTTAATTTCTGTAAATTATTGAACAGAACAACTTTCTTTCGTTAGATATGCTTAAAATGTGCGAGACCGGAAATTAATGAATTAATTAGTTTAATGCTGTCGCCGCTCGGCCAGCTTTAAGCATTAAAAACAATTACGCAAGGCCGGCAAAGCGGAGAGTGGATAAAATAAGTACAAGTAGAGACCATTGTTTATGCTTACACTCGTGGTTAAAATTCTAGTGGTGGGGTATGAAAAAACTATAATATTAAGACAACATTTACAAAAAAAAAAATGGGTTAAATTTTGTATCGAAAAATATTTTAAGGTTTAGAAGTTATAGGAATTTATAGGGTACAAAAACAGGTGAAAGAAGGGAAAGGAAGAACGCAGAAAGGAAACAACAGCAAATAGCAATAATTTATATTTGCTTTCCCGGCATTCCCTTTCCTTGGTTCTCAATAACCTGGATGTTTAATACATATACATATTTCCGTATATACATGTTTGTGTGTGAGGAAAATGCGGGCTCTTGTCTGCGGCAAACTTGTTTGCAAGCGAAAGAGACTCGGCTCTCTCTTCGTCGTGCGGCGAATTCCCAACCCCCGCTCATGCTTTCGCCTCTCTGCATCTCCCGCAGGCCCACAAGCTCCGTTCACCGCAAGAGGTCTTCCCACAGACATACAAAAAGTACTTTGTAAATCCTGTTAGCTTCGACAGCCTGGCAGAGTGCATCCGCCGTGGAGCCTACCAGACCACCGAGGAGTTCCTCAGCGAAGTGAAATGGATGCAGCACAACGCCCTCATCCTGGACACTGGCGGTGAGATAGAACCACTTATATACCACCCTGAATAGCTCTCTATAATCCTAATGTCTTCCCACAGATCCCAAGGTGGAGCAAGCCTCAAAGGCCGTGGTGAAGGTCTGCCGCCAGGAGGCCAATGAGATCGACACCTGCCCGGAGTGCTATCTGAATGCCAACTCTAGCGACGAGTGGTTTGTGAAGGTCTGCCGGCATCCCCACCTGCTGCTTTGGGCCAAGCTCAAGGGCTTTCCATACTGGCCGGCCAAGGCAATGGGCTCCTCGAACTCCACGCTGGTGAATGTCCGGTTCTTTGGCAAGCACGATCGGGCATTTGTGCCCGTCAAGGATTGCTTTCTGTACTCCGCCCAGAATCCCAATACCCAAACCAGTCGACGATCGGCCAGGGATCTGGCGGAATGCGTTCGCGAAGTGGAGGTTCACATTGAGAACATCAAGCGGAAGATTGGGGCCTTCTGCTATGCCGAATATCGCACAGCCTACGACCCGATAGAGGAGCAACAGCAGCTTGAGCAGATGATGCCGGGCGTCTATGAAGCCATCGATCGGGAACTAGAGCCGGCCAACAAAACGCCGCTGCAGTTTCTCATCCGCAAGACGGCCGACGATAAGTTGTCTATAGTGAAGAAGACCAAGACCACGGAGTCGGGCAACGAATCGGATCAGTCTGGCAGCCCCGTGAAGAAGTCTCCAGAGGCTCCAGAAGCTGTAGCAGCCAGTGAGCCACCTCCCAAGCTCAACAAGAGCAACAACTATGAGGTTATATCCCGATCCGGTGAGTCCTTGACTGACTCTCGTTGCAAGGTGCTGCTTAAGCGGAAATCCCTAGCTGCCAAGACCACGTCGAGCTCTGTGGAGGCATCATTACCATCACCAGCTCCAACACAGGAAGCACTTGCACCGGCGGTGCCCTCTAAGCGCAAACATTCCCTGAGCGACACCAGCTGCACCAGCGAGTCCAGTGACTACAAACGCAAGGCCAAGCACGCCAAAAAACAGCAGGATCAGCAGGTGCGGGATCAGCCAGTGGCGGAGCCAGGGGAACCTCCCAAGAAGCTTTCCAAGTCTCCAGAACAAACCATTGGGGAGAAACCTCCTGAGAAACAGACGGCAAAGGCTTCAGAAGCTTCCCCTGCCTCTGTGGTTTCTGTGGTGGAGCTGGTCAGACGTCGCCAGGGTGTGACCATCACCAAGATACCACGCGATCAACAGCAGATGGCAGGAACTGACCCAGAGCCACCTCCTACTCCAGCTGTGGCAGCGCCACCTCCTACTCCAGCAGCAGCAAATCCTTCACCTTCAACAGTGACCAAGGTAAAGGCACCGGAGCGAAGTCAGGCCCGGAAACAATCCGAGGTTGAGCGTCAGCAACAGCAGCTCATCAAGAAAGTGATTCCCTTTGTGGAGATCAAAACGGAGGTGATGTCGGAGCCAGAGGAGGAGGAAGCCACTCAGCAGCTGCCCGTGCCAGAGCCAGAGCCGGCACAACCGGAGCCAGCTCTGGTGTCAGCTACTCCTCCTCCACCCGAACCTATGGAAATTGCCCTTCCTGAGAATATAAAAATCAAAGAAGAGATTCTCAGCGACGATGAGATAGAGACGGATCAGCAGCAGCCGGCCAGTGTAAGTCAGAGGCTGGAAGCGTTTCCGCCGATGCCACAGCCCATGCCGCCGCCACCTCCTCCTCCCTTGCCACCGCGTGAGGAGACACCCGCCACGGAGGCCTTGGTGCGTTATGTGGGCGATACGAGCATCCAAAAGGTGAGTCAGAAGCAGGGAGGCAAGTCTTCGGACTCCAACGCCAAGCGTCGCGGTCCTCAAGCCTCATCGCCGGCTATCTCGCCAGTGCCATCACCTGCTCCCTCAACGGAGTCGCTTTCGCCCAAGTCAAGTGGCATTTACGGGCCGAACAAGCCAACGCCACCGCAGGGTCCATCAAAGAGCAAGCCATCTCAAGCTCAGGCCTCACCGCAGCAGCACCAATACCGTGTTAAGGGCGATCGGGTTACACCCAATCCCAGCTCGTCACCGGGAGCCGCACCTGCGACCACAACCACCACCACATCGAGTCTGCTCAGATCCAACATGGTGGTGATACCCGTGGAGCAGGCAAACAACTGCAATCCGCACAATCCCATGACCATACCAGTGCCGCCCTTGAGAGCCGTTTCCAAGAGCACTTTGCAGAGCTCGGCCGCCTCCTTGCAAACAGCGCCAGTCTCAACCTCGCAACCCGCTAGCTCCATATCCGTGCCACCTTTGGCAGGCCTGAGCTTTTCGCCTCTGCCCTCCACCTCCGCAGCAGCAGCAGGAGGAGCCCAAGGAAACGGTGGAGGAGAGCCAGCCGGTGGACTCTTAGCCAGCGCTTTGAATGGAATGACCAGCCAAGAGCCAAGCCTGGTCACTGAGCCGAATGATCCCATTACCCCCGGCATGGCCACGGCCCTGAGTGAGATGCTGCTACGCTCTGGGCCGCCCAAGCTGGTGGCACGTCCCGGCGGGCCGCTGCAGTCGGATGGCTCTCACATCTATCCCTCCCAGGCAGGACCCGTGTCGCAGAAGCTAAAGGAAAATGCCCACAAGGTGAGTTGGGAAAATCCTAATTACACCTAACTTATATCATCTTTAACCCTTAGATCACTGACTACTTCATCTCTGTGATTGAAGACACCCTCAGTGACATGGCCACCGGTGACCAGAGTGTCCTCCAGGCCCGCATCACTGGCCTGACGCTGGAGAATGAGCGTTTGAAGCAGCACTATGATCGCCAGCTAACAGACTTGCAAAAGACCAGCGAACTGATGCTGGCCGAGATGCGCAAGACCCTAGAGCAGGAGCACAGGCGGGTGATCAGCGAGCTGCGCCAGCAGGCCAACATCGAGCGAATGCGGGCAGTGGACGAGGCCAAAAAGAAGCAGTGGTGCGCCAACTGCATGCGCGAGGCACAGTTGTACTGCTGCTGGAATACCTCATACTGCGACTATCCCTGCCAGCAGATGCACTGGCCCAGGCACTCGGCCACCTGTGGCCAGGCAGTAAATGTTCAGGTGCCGCTCTCTAATGCAGGTCCAGCTTCAGCTATGGAAACTGGGCGTTCGCCCAAGTCCAAGGCAGCTACGATAACACCAACACCCGCGCCTCCGCCTCCCAATGTCAGGACACCGACTGCCGCCTGTCAACCTCCAGTGGCACCTGTGATCGGCACCAATTCAGCGGGTAAAAAGTGGCCGCCCATGATGTCCTCCATAATGAACCAGCAGCCGCCGCCCCCCAATCCGGAGACAACTTTGCTCAAGCTGCCCTCTAGCACATATTTGCGGCCAGTGGTCAGTAGCATAACGGCGACGGTGACGGCCACGCCGACAGTGAATAGCAGCATAAATCCCATGCTACCCTCCTCGTCGGGCAACCACATGGCCCACCTCATGCCCGGGCCCATTCAGCGGCAGAACAACGCAGCCAACTTTCAACCCAAGCCTGCATCACAGCCCATGCAGCCCGTGCAGCGATACAATATACCCGTAAGTCTTGAGTTTAAGTTGATATATAAAGATTTTCCCAATGGTTTTTTCTTGGCCTACAGTTACCCATTACCATTAATCCTAGTGGCGCGCCCTATGGCCTCATAGCAGAGCAGCATCACAAGCAGCAGCTGGCGCCCAAGGCCAAGGGACGCAGGCAAAACAACACAACAATTCGGCAGATAAACAGCACCGGTAGCCAGGGCATAAGACCCAACCAAATGAACCAAGTGTTCCACCCATGATTCTTTGACAAGGAAAAGCGAAATGAAAAAGGAGGAGGAGCGGAAGGAGAAGGAGGAGGAGGAGTTTCCCCAAACGGAAAGACTGCCTGTGATTCAGGATACAAAACTTTCATTGATATTCCAGAAAAACTCCTTTAATTGAAGAGTCTTAAATTCGTACTTTTATTTCTCTTATTTCTTATTTTTATTATTTTTTTTTTAATTCAAACCCCCCCCCATTGGGGGGAAGCTATCATGTTAATTTGTACTCCCAGAGTAGCACACACCCTGAAAGTTTACGTTTGGTCAGGTTTACATATATGTATAAAGATAATAATAGAGTTAAGCTTAAAGTATGTTTAGGTTTGACGGTCTTTAACTACAACCTATAGACATGCCGCTTAGCCAGTAAGAACCCATGAGATGGACTTTTGAAAAATCATAGCGTTAAGACCATGTCACTTTCCATTTGATGAAGCATTACTGTAAATGTCATAGTTTTCATTCGCCACATTACATACATTTTATGTATATCTAAAGCCAAGCTAAAAGCGGCAACGAATAAATGTCTGCGTTTAATTTTAAGGAAAGCTGTGTACATTTCATTTATAACTGCAAAAACACCAAATTTTCTAAATACTACTAGCAGCACTATGACTACGTCTCAATCAATGTCCAATTTCTTGAAATTTCCCTCAATGCCAAAGAGGTCGGAGGCATTCTTGGCCTTGCCGGGCCTAAGCTTTTCGTTCACCTGGTGACGCGTCTCGAATTCCAGCATTTCCTTGCGATTGTCCAGCAGTTTCTTGTAATAGATTTCTGTGTAGAAAGATAGGGGAAATTAATGAAATATAATATAATAATATTATCTTATTCGAAAAATTAATATATATATATTATATATAGATAATATAATTTTATATTAATTTTTTTAATAAGATAATCTTATCTAATTATCTTTCGAAAACACAAACCCACCTTTGGCCAAACTGCTCTCCTCTAGTTGACCTCCGTATTCCTTGGGCAGCATTTCTTTTGGAACAAACTTGTAAAAGTCATTTATATCGCTGTGCATGTGCAGGACACTCGTCAGTTCCTTCTTCATAAAAGGCGTCATCAAGGCCAGAATCTTGTCCATGAAGGGTACAATATTTATAAAGTGAAACCCTATCAATCGGATGGCCGCCGCTTCCTAAAAAGATTTGCCACTTGATTTTTTCTTCTTATCAAAAATTCACTTTAAAAAGCTCTTAACCTGCAGGTAAAAGAGAAACTTCTTCATCTGCAGCAGACCAATGCGAGCCACATGGCCCAGGGAGGTGCCCTTCAGGTCGATCACTATCACGTGACCCGGCTGTATGCCATCCTCGTACATCCAATAGTCGAAGACCATGCAGTATCTGCAAGATACAAAAGGGAAGGTTAAGGCAAGGACCGTATCTGCAAGATACAAAGGGAAGGTAAATGCAAGGACTGCATAAAAAATCTTCAAAAAATAAATAAATTCAGGCTCGAACTGGAAATTCAGTATACAATTCTGGTTTGAGTTAATGTTTGAACTTATTGAGTTTTTTATTTATTTATTTACTACTAAAGCATTACGAGTTCTAGGAGCTGTTTTATAGAATATAAAATATCATGTCGAGTCATTGCGACATCATCTCCTGTACTACAGCTGGACATGTTTATAGACCATGTACTGGCTTAATTGTTAACTCTTAATTGACTGCCATTATACAGCAGATTATAATGATCGCTGTGAGTGCCACAAGCAGATTAAGGCGCAGTATCTCGAGTGTGTATCTCTCTCTTTGTATCTCAGTAGCCGGAATTGCTGAATCTGTGAGCTGTGCGTGCTTTCGGTTGCATTGAATTTGCGGTTTTTTAGTTGGGGATAGCACAGCACACACTACTACTAAAATATGAATCGTTAAAATTGTCAAAAATCAACAAAAATGTCGATTTTTTTAAATTTAAAATTTAGTATGCGGATTTGTTAACCAAGAAAAACATAGCACAGAAAAGCTTTCCGAATTGAATTTGATTCATTTTTGACTTAGTTATGGGTTTTTTAACTTTGATTTGTCAAAAAAATTATCATAAAAACAAGAAAAAAAGCTAACTTTGGCCAGCCAAAGTTTGTATACCCTTGCAGGTAACAATTAAAATATATCATAACTAAGCCATAAATGCATTAATTTCGATTCGGAAAGCAGTTTTGTGTTAGTTTTTATTAATTTAAAAAAACTGCATACCAAATTTAAAATTTAAAAAAATCAAAATTTTTGGCCATTTTTGCTCATTTTAATGAGCAAACCCAGCCAAAGTTTGTATACCCTTGCAGGTAACAATTAAAATATATCATAACTAAGCCATAAATGCATTAATTTCGATTCGGAAAGCAGTTTTGTGTTAGTTTTTATTAATTTAAAAAAACTGCATACCAAATTTAAAATTTTAAAAAATCAAAATTTTTGGCCATTTTTGCTCATTTTAATGAGCAAACCCCTTATCAAATTTCGCAAAAATGGCCAAAAAATCGATTTCTTCCGGACATGTCTAGAAATTTTCGCCTGTTGATGCTGATCAGGAATATATATGGTTTATGGGGTCGGAAATGATTCCTTGACTTAGAAAAATATTATTTTGTATTATAAAATCGGATTTTTTATATTAAAAAACTTGTTGATTATCTTTAAATTAAAAATATCATAACTCGGCCAAAAGAGCATTAATTTTAAATCGGAAAACTGTTCTGTGCAAGATTTTCTACAGGTAATAAATCTGCATACTTCATTTAAAAATGTGAAAAATTCAATTTTTTATCAAAATCAACAATGTTAATGATGTAACCCCTTATAAAATTTTGCAAAAATGGCCAAAAAATCGATTTCTTCCGGACATGTCTAGAAAGATTCCCCTGTTGATGCTGATCAAGAATATATATACTTTATAGGGTCGGAAAGGTCTCCTTCACTGCGTTGGAAACTTCTGACTGAAATTATAATACGCTGCAAGGGTATAAATATCCATTTAAAGAAATAAAATACTTTCGGTCTTCTTGAAGGGTATATGATTATAGTCAGTAAAGGAGTCATTCCTGATCCTATAAATTATATATATTCCCTATCAGCATCAAAAAATGTATATATTTTTTGCTTAATTATTATGCTTTTAAGGTTTGATTCTCCCAAAAAAAGAATATATATATATAAAATTAGGGATAATTATGTACATTTTAAAACCTCTTTGAGGGTATTTTAATTTCTGTTTTACTTATTTTGTTTAACGTATCTTTAGCTCACACACTCCTTTTCTAATTTTACTTACAACTTCATAACATCTGCATAGTTATAATTGGAGGCATTCAGGTCGTCTAGTTTTCCAATAATCACACGATAACCCTCAGAAGTGGCTCCAGGCAGAGGAACAATAGAACTGTTTATCAACGAAGGCAAAATATGAAAAATATTAATAATAAAAATTAAAAACATATATATTATATATCTCCGATTTGCAAAGATGCTTGCAGGAAGCTAGACGCTTCTACCTACACCGTTTTCATGGCGCGCCTAATATCCGGCCGCTCGCTGTCGAGGTTGACAAAGAACTCATCCAGGTGGGTGCGGGCCGTGAGATTGGTGTCCAGCACCTGCTTGGCCACCTCCATGCTGTAGCGGCAGGCGTGGAAGAAGTGCAGCGCCTCGCCCTCGGAGAACCTATCCGAGATGTGCGGCTGGGCATGGATCCATTCCACGAATTTCTGCACCTCGGAACGCTTAATCACCGGAAATCTCCTGTACTGGTCCTCCAAGTCGGCTTCCCGCATTATATCGGTTTTGGCAAGGAACTACTTTGGATTTTTATTTATTATTTTTGGGGGGGTTGTGGTGTTTCGACAGCGGAATTTACTTTTGATTTTTTACGCGCAACTTGGCAACTTGGCGGTCGACTCTCGAATGAAATGGAAATGGAAGCTGGTTGCTTTCGCAAGTGAAACTGGTTGGCTGACTTGCGAATTCGGCATGCAATTTCAAGTGCTCGATGGGATCGTGTCGGGATCGGGAGTGGAGATTTTAGGGGGCTGGGACTGGGGCTGGCGTGTGCTGACTAGCCGAATCGCAGACTAGAGCCCTCCCCTATCCAACATTTCCCCCGTGATTTTTATTAGGAAAAACTGGCAACTGGCTTTGGCACACAAGAAGAAAAATTTAAATTTTGTAGGTGGTATTCTCTAGATGGTTTAAAATGGTACTTTTAAAGGGCTTTTAAAAAATATAATACATATAATAAGTTTATTTTCATAAAGGAGGTTATACATTGCTTCTATTTATTTATTACTTTATTTTTTTATAGCCTTAAAAATAACAAGAAAATCCATGAAAGCAGATTATTGAATATCTTATAATATTAATTATCAGGAATATTTTTAAATTTAAATTTTAAGGATTTTAAAACAGCCTAAAACTTTGTTTACTCTGCATCCGTTGGCTCATTTCACTTCACTTCACCATCAGGCTGCGTGAAAATGCAGTATGTTTTTCGTTGTTGTTCGCTACCCGCTTGTGGATGGCAAATGGTTATTATTATTATTATTTTTCTTCTCTCTGGGATTACATAACATGTGATCAATGTGCGGCCGATCCATGTCGAGAGGCCAAACCGAGGCCTGTTATTATTATTGGCGCATGGCGTGTGCTCCAGCCCCGGCCGATCGAGAGATCTCAGCTCCTTCATCAAATCCGAAAATGTGATGCTTGACTGGCGAAAGGAAATTATTTTCTTCTAATATAAACATATATGTATGTATATATAGAGATAAATGGGGTTTAAAGATATGAGAGAGCGGTACAGGCGGCGTATACATAATATTGAAATATAATATAATATAAAAATTGTTTGTATAAATCTTGGTTGTTTAAATTTTTTTATTTTATATATTTTGTCATTAATTAAGTCTTGATTGGTTTTGATATATGGATAATTTGATAATAAAGCCGCAGAACCAGTCTAATAAAACCTTATTAACTTTTAAAACGAAAATATATAATGTATTCGGGAGTCATGCTTTAATTGTTTGTACCTAAGCTTAACCTATAAACCAATAAATGTATAACTAAATATATAAATGTATAAATAAACATATATATTTAACTATAAATATTTATATAAATTGCTCAACGAGCTTATGTATTCCTAGCCTCCGTCAAATGAGTTGTCACAACGCATTCGAGTTCCTCGGTGGCTAATTCCTTGAGTTGCTGCAACTTCTTCGTCTTGGTCTTTATGTGCGGAGTCTAGCTGCCACAACGGCCTCATTTCCGCGGCAGACACTTGACATTTTGCCAACAGCAGACGGAGAGACACGGAGACATGGAGACAGAGCCAACCAACCAGCCAGCCAGCCAGAAAACCAAGCCAGGCCAAGTGAGCCGGGCCAGCAAGTGGACAACCAACCTAGGCAGTAAGCACTGACAATAAATATGGGTAAAACTACTCTGAAAAAATCTCCATGTTCCCCGCTAAAATCCAGTACAATGTGATCCATTTCTTGCAGTGTACCTGTGGCATGCTTCGCTCAGTTA